TGACCAGCTCCCGAAAAATGAGCAAATTTTCTCCATTTCGAAATGAAAAATTAAGATGTTTGCATAGGTTTGTAGCCTACTATCTCATCTACATTATGCCCGAAAATGAACGCGTCACAGTCAAAAAGAGAAAAGTTACAAAGTAAGTTGCAAAACTTATGTGCCAACCTAATATTTGTATGCATAGTTCAAAACCTATTTGTGTAAAACTTTCGAAAAGAGATTTCAAATTCGATGTCGGCACAACGTGATATGGCGGATGCTCAGTGATTTGAGACAATTATTAGTTCAACCATAGGCGTCTGCAAGGTTTCAATACGCGGTAATAATTGACACAAATAGTAAAAGAGAAAACGGAGAATTGGTTAAACATTGGTCATTGAGTGAAAACAGGTATTCAAATGAAAGCCGCCTTAAAAAGGTTTCTTTGAATCCACAGGTTGTTGCTTTTCTTGAACGGCGGAAACGAGAAGGCAACCGTTGTGCTTTATCCTCCACACAATTTCGCTTGATATTTGCTTTTCTAAAGTGGCATTTACTTTTTCCTGGAACACTGGAGCTCGCAAAACTATAATCCTCTTTAGAGAATGAATGCAACATTTTTTGGCATAATGCATTAATCTGGAGTCTGCTACTTTCCGTCTAGCTCACTAACAAGGGAGGTCCGTTTTCCATTTCGAGATGTTCTCATCAAATACTGATACGATTTCAAAGAGCCTCAAACGCTGATTCCAAATATGTCTTCATTATCTGCCAAGCGCCTCTGGACGCCGAGTTATGAGCGTTTTTGGGTTAAGAAATTGAACGCTTAATTAGAACAAATTCAGTCAGAACTGCTCAAATGGTCCAGTACTGATTATTAGCGCACTACGTTGAAAGACATTCTGTCCAAAACACTCATACTCAACATTGCTCTATTTGGGTAACATTTGTTTCACCTAAATTATGCGTTCATTTTTCGCACAAAATAGCATTCATAACTCGACGTGCAGAGGCGCTTGACACATTGTGAAATCAGACTCGGAATTAGCGTTCGGTGCCTTGCGGTGTAAGACATTTGAAAAGGCCACTTCGAATAATCGGACCCTCTTGTAAGCTGCATGTTCTACGTCCGAGTATTAATTTATGGAGCAGTTTTCAATTCCAGAATAGCGGTTAGTACCTATACAGGGTGTCCCAAAAAATGTGAACACTGTTTGATCGTTAATAATTTCGTTGCTTTCATGTCTTTCGTCGAGCTTGAGGCACCGTTCTAAAGAACGAGGTTCAACTTAGATTTGTAGTATGGAGCGAATCATCAATCGTTCTTCGTTACTGTAGGGTTACGGTAGGAAGTTCGACAAGGATTTAAGGCCATTGGAACCCATATTCTGCTTCGGAACAAAACCAAACAAGCCGAAAACCTCTTATACTATGGTAATGGAAGCCGCTGATTTTGAATATGAAACTTCCACTTCACTGTGATGCATCTTTCCAAAGTCATCCCAGGTAAACCATAATAACCGAATTCCCAGTATTTGTCAGAAATGTGACTACGCCGTCAAAAAAGCTGAAAACAATCGTAAAAAGTTGTACAATGGAATCAGCGCGCGCGAAAATCCTAGTACACGATTTTTCAGATTTTTTAAATAAAATTTTGTCAAATGGCATATTTCACATTAGATCCACATGCTCGAAGTTCATACCGTAATCCTACAGTAACGGATAGCGATCGGTGGTTCGCTCCATACTACAAATCTAAGTTGAACCTCGCTCTACAGAACGGTGCCTCAAGCTCGGCGAAAGACGTGGAAACAACCGAGTTGTTAACGATCAAACAGTGTTCACATTTTTTTGGGACACCCTGTATTTCAGTATCCAAACTGAAGCGAATTAACTGGATCAAATCAAAACTTCCGCCTTCGGGTCAAAGGCTGCTCCGGAAATATGCTACCAAAATACCTGCACTGTATGTCTTATTTAGGTATATATCTAGAAAAGAGAAAACAAAACCATTATTTTACTAATACATTTCAAAATATCTAGGGGTTTGAAAATGTTACAGTCCGAGCGTATAATTATGGTACTATTTCATCGTGTTCGAGAAGCCTGAAAGGCATAGGAGGGGAAGAGGACCGTGGAAAAAAAGAAAAATGTAAAGGCAATTGAGAGGCCCTATGGACCTCCAAAAAAGCGACCATTGATTCTATTAAACGATTTTGTCTACAATACCGCTCACATTTTTTGAAAAATAGACGCGAATGTATGGACATGTATGGACATGTACGGACATGTCCATACATGTATGGACATGTCCGTGCATGTATGGACATGTCCGTACATGTCCATACATGTCCATACATTCGCGTCTATTTTTCAAAAAATGTGAGCGGTATTGTATCACTGACAAGATGAAGGTTTGACGAAATCATAAGTAGAGATTTGCTTGCTAAAAGAAATTTTCAGAAGTTTTAGATGAGAGGATAACTGCTTTCAAATGCAGCTGTAGTTCAAAGGAAAACTGTACTACAGGAAAATATTTTTGGAAGTATACTCCTGTAGCACATATAGCTTGTTTGATAAATATTATCTCATGGATGATTGTGTTGCCTTCGTTTCTAACAGCGCAATGAAAGAAATCTTTGCAAATTCTCAAGTATAAGTGAATGCACGAGAATTGCGTTGACGTTCTTGACAAATAGATGTTTTATACGCCTGGCAATACATAATTGATATAAACCAGTTTGGAACAGCGAAAACAACAAAATCAACAATTGCTTGGATTATGCGAACTGGTTATACTATCAGCATATCTACGAGCTGTGTGCGATTAGAAACCAGCCCGAGAACCAGGGAATTCAAATATTTTATGGAAAGAAGTTTCATGAGTGCTTTTTGTCTTGCTTGATTTGACTAGGTATCCCATTTCAACGATGTGTAAACGTTGCAAAAGAGAGGTTGGGACACCAGGTCAAAATTCTGAGCTGTTTTCGTTGCATGAGTATTGATTGATTTGTTTTGTTATTTCTAAACTTGAGATAATCAGAAAAGACGTACAGTAAGATCCTTAACGCTTAGCTCAGAATATTTTCATGAATATAGCAGCATAATATAACACGATATTTTCATAATATGGCAGCATCACTACTACATGGAAGCTTAAATCTTGATTTTTAGCTGTCGATTCGATTCATTTTAAATAATGAAAGATAGCTACTAAAAGCCGTTCCAGAATTCGGACTTGCTTAATGATTTACTTATCGAAGTAATGCTTCAAACTCTCTGATATAGTAAGGTAAGAGCAAACTTCGGTTGAATTTGAAAACATTTATGTCCCATTATCTACCATCTCTGATACAGTGAGGTAAGAGCAAAAGCTCAAATTTAAAACAAATTCAAAGCTCATTCAACGAGAATTAATAAGTTTGTATACCACCAAAAGAGAAAGATAAGTAGACTATAAATTCAAATAAAAAAAGCTTACTGTAGTTTTTACGATTTTCTACATTTAAGTTGTTGAGCATAACAAGAGGGTTTGCTAGTTTAGTGATTCAAGCACCGCTCCGCATAAAATTATTAGCCGAAACTTGGAGAAGGATTTCTTCTAGTGTATGTCTAGTGTGTTTAATCTCCAACCATTTCATGAACAAGTAGATTTTATAAATGATGCTATAAAAACCCAAGACCTGAAGAACATTATAAAACTTAGTTTATTCCAAATATCAGCCGTAATTGCTAAGACACAGCTGATGGTTTTCACGCTGTTATGTGCTTTTAAAATGCTAAAACGCAAGCGATTACGGCTGATATTTGGAATACAATTAAATTTTATAATGTTCTTCAGGTCTTGGGTTTTTATAGCATCACTTATAAAATCTACTTGTTCATGAAATGGCTGAAGACTAAACACACTAGACATTGCAAAGTATTACTTCGTTCATATTGCAAACAGTGTTTGGACAAATTTCTGACAATGCGAAGTAATTATTTAATTACTCTGAGCTTAAGGCCTCCGGCACACTTCGCACGATTTCAATCGCCCGCGATCTGGCAATGTTCCGGTTCTTCACAACTCTTCTAACCGCATCCTATACACAAAAGCTATGAGAAATAGCATCAAATCACAAGTGTTACACATACTAAACTCTATCGGTGGTCGTTACGAAGAAATACGGCAAGCTGCTAAGTCGCTTGGCGCCTGATATCGCGCGAGGTATGTCCAAGACCTAGAATAAATCCAGAAAAATGGCACAAGATAGAGCTAGATGTTATGGTTTTTGGCGCTGGATTTAGGGATCGTCCTGTGAGCCATAAACATTGAATGAACATCAATTTAACATTGTTTTTATTAGCACTATTAGTAATTAAGTGTGTGTCATCTTGGACAACGTAATACTTCATAAACAATTTCCAAAGCAAATCATGTGCACAAACCAGTTTAGTTTTTAGAGCAGTTATTTTTTGCGAATTATGACTGGAGAAACCACGAAACTTTAAGAACATGAAAATGATTCTGTTGATTTTCTGATTACGTATAGGAATTTTCTCAAAAAAACAATCCGTCTAGGGTGACTCATTGAGTATTTCGTTTTTGTTTCTTTAGTCGAATTAGAATGGGAGGCAATGTTATGGCAATAAAACGTTACTAACTTGACTAAAAGGCCGAGGCGAGGAAATTTTTTAAGAGAGCGCAACTGAAATAGAAAAAAGTTTACACCAACAGCGGTTTAGAAGAGAGAGCTTTCCATGATTTAGTACAAACTTACAGACTGTGATGGTCAAAAAAGTGAAAAACATATTTCCAAGAACCTCGTCATGCAAGTGTAATTTTCCTCTGATTCTTTATAAACCCAAGAAGTGTACTACACTGTAACAGCGAATCAGATGATTCCAGAAGGTTTCACCAAAAAGACGATAAATTGCAAATCAATCTTCAATAGACTGGTAATTTGATTCAATGTCGAGAAGGATGGAAAGAGAAATCGTTTTTTGCTCAAGAGGAAGATAGCTGATTCGATTACCTGAACATTTCTCTTTCGTAGACACTGCTGTATTGCTATCATATTTTCTTCTGCGTGTATCTCTTAGCTGAAAAAGGAGAAAAATGAAAGATGAAGTTGGGAAGGAAGGAAACTACGGTAAAACTGCATCTACCTGAATAGTTCGTATATGCTGACCACTGCAAACGCCGAAAAGTGAATTCAACTGGATGGCAGAGATTTAACCAAATGACTGGTTTGCTCCGTAGAAGAATAAAATACGGACAGGTTGATAGGTGTGACAGCAGGCAGAAAACTGGAATCACTGCTGGGAACTGGCAGATAATTTTTGCAGAAACACACTGATAGATTTCAAGTGTTTCATTTGTCTAGGAAGCTACTGTTGACCCAATGTCTAGTATTGACATGGAAAGAAATTGACGTAGATTTACATTGCCGGGATATGGCGAACCCAAAAATTGGATCGTTTGCTAAACCCAGCGAGCTTCACAAGAATGACACCAAGCATCCACGTAAACGGTGATCCAAAGAAATTTAACGAAATCTACGAAGGTGTAATTAGGCCAAGTATAAACGCAACACCCGATGTGATACACTTTCGACATTTTTTCATGGCTAGATATTAGAAAAAATCGAAACAGCTAACCAAGTTTCGCCCTAATAATCATCTTTTGCTCCCAGATCAGGACTGGGCACGAGCTGGGAAATTTTAAAACGAGGTCTCCTTTCACCCTAAACCCTAAATGTAACCGCCCCCCCCCCCAAAAGAAACGGAACGTCGATTAGAAAACGTAGCAATTTTTGAGTCTCGACCAAAAAACGATATCCCCTTTGCTTTGGTCCCAAAAAGGATATTCAGCTTGACTCGATGTCAGCTGTGCCGAACCCTGTCCCAGATACTCTATTACATACCACATGTTTTTGATAAGATCGCATATATAGAGTCTTGTTAATTTCAGCTCGAAATCCCGAAAAAAAGCGACACTATCTTCTTTCCAATTCAGTGCTACAATACCGCTCGTAATTTTTGAAAAAACGACGCATAGTCGCCCGATTCATGTGACATCACCTTAATATGGCCATATCTCGCTTTAGAGTGACGAATTCTCAATAGGAGCACCATTCAACCCAGCTCTTTGCAGCGCATCTTCTGATATCTCAAAGTGCCTGTTTAGAAATACAGTAGAAGGCCAGTGTCCTTGAATCGTTTTAGATTTTTGCTTACGGTAGGTTACCCAAAATGTCTGTTCATTGCCCCCACTGAGCAACCTACCATAAACAGAAATCTAAAAGGATTTGTAAAATCTAGCCTCGTACTAGATCCAAGCAAGCACTTCTATACATGAGAAGATGCGCCTCGCCGAGCTGAGTCGAATGATGTCCTTGGATTAAGAATTCGTCCACTCTGAAGCGAGATATGGCCACGCCACGATGATGTCACATGAATCGGATGAGCGTCTTTTCAAAAATTCGAGCGGTATTGTATACCTTTTCCGCATAACTATTGAGAAAAAATCGAGTTGCAATAAATTCGTCGAGATGCATCTATTGTAAGACGCAACAAATTTAGCATTTCTTCACAGGTAAGCCCCGTAAGACAACATATACACACATATACATATTACATTGCACATGGACTCGGGTATAGCCGTGAATCTAAGTCTATATTATGAGAAGTCAGTAAAAGGAATGACTGGGCAGTATTTAGAGAAAGATTGATGAGAAAATAAGACTAGAATAACTTACTGAAGAGTCATAGAGTTACTTCAAGTAATCGATCAAGTCATTAATTGCAGAAGATGTTCTATCGATAGTGACAACAGTGTTTGCTATGGTTTTTCTCGACAATGCATTTCTTTCCAACAAGTTCATCGACTTTGCAAAAAGTAAAATCGGCAGCCGCTACTCTTTTTCTTGGAGGGTCGTTCCCGCTCTCATTCACCCAATTCAAAAATTTTAAACGTATCTCTTATAGCCTTAAACGTTACCACCTCACAGCGCACCTATTCTAGAATTGCGTCGCTGTGTAATGCAAATGGTTCTTTGACTAATTTTGTGTATCATAATTTTGGTTACAGAATGTTAATGACTATTCATTAAGTACTTGAGTCTTCTTCCTCTTCAATTCGTAGTGAAAATTGTTTCAAAGAATAGAAAACCTCTTCCTCCCCCTTATTATGGGTAGTTAACTTTCCAACAATGTGGTACATGAGCAAATAATGCAGGTAGCTCGTCTCTTTTCCGAAATAACAATATAGAGTTTTTAGGGCCAACCTTCTTTTTAATAAATTTTGGTAACCTAGTAGGGTAAGTCAGATGTAGCGAGATTTCTTCACCATGTTTTTGACCTTTAGTCAAAGTAGATAGATTAACAAGAGATAAGTGGTCTCAACGGTATCCAAAATAATTCCTTTCTTTTTCCACTAACTTTGTTTTGCAACCGACTATTTCCATAACATTCAAAATAATAGCAAATGCTGTCAAACCAGCCCTATATTTTTCAGTTCCATAACAACAGCTGTGCGCTTAACTTCAAAATATGATATTTTGAGGTTGTATGTTCTTAATTAATCGCATACACAAGTGGTGATTTGTTTCGAACATATCAGTGATGATGGTTATCAGTATTTGAACTGATTCGTTCTAGAACATTGGAAAGATTCGCCTACCAATGAGGATCTCTACCCGCTTGTTATCATTTCCCTTGCAATTTGGAGCAGAGATTTTGGAAAGCAGTTTATGTTGCATAAAAACGATGAGTTCATTCTGAGGATCTTCGCCAAAAAAATTTGCTGATAAGTTCAAAGAGAGTCTTAAAACTTCCCCTTACTTTTGACTCGTGATTGACAACGCACATTCTTCATGCAAGATCGCGTCATAAACTTGCAAAAGATGGGATGTTTTTCGAGAATTTTAAAAGTGCCCGGTCAACGCCATACCTCTAATTTCAAAGAAATCTTATATATAAAGCTGAATGTCTGTTTGTCTGTATGTATGTCTGTATGTATGTATGTATGTATGTATGTACGTATGTTCCGAATAGAAAATTCCATTTCTGAACCGATCCGGACCAAACTTGGCACACATACACTTCGGGCCCCGGCGGGTGTCATAGGCTACTTTTCGTCATCGATCGATATCGATTTTATCGATTTTTATCGATTTTTTTTTGCTGAGTTCACCTACGGGGCTAGGAGTTTGCACAGGGGGTAATCGAGCATGCAGATTCCGAATACAATATTGGTTTTCGGGATTATCGATTACTTTTAATAAAAATTTAAAAAATCGATAAAATCGATAAAAGTAATGGATGATCTTGAAAACTAATATTGTATTCGTAATCTGCATGCTCGATTACCCCCTGTGCAAACTCCTAGCCCCGCAGGTCAAACTTTACAAAAAAATCGATAAAATCGATAAAAGTAATGGATGATCTTGAAAACTAATATTGTATTCGTAATCTGCATGCTCGATTACCCCTGTGCAAACTCCTAGCCCCGCAGGTCAAACTTTACAAAAAAATCGATAAAATCGATAAAAGTAATGGACGATCCTGAAAACCAATATAGTGTTCGTAATCAGCATGCTCGATTACCCCCTGTGCAAAATCCCAGCCTCGCATGTCAGAATTTACAAAAAATCGATAAAACTAATAAAAGTAATCGATAATTCTGAAAACTAATATTGTATTCGGAATCCCCATGCTCACTTCCCCCCTGTGCCAACTCCTAGCCCTGTAGGTGAACTCTGCAAAAAAATCGATAAAAATCGGTAAAATCGACATCGATCGATAACGAAAAGTGGACTGTGACACCCGCCGGGGCCCGAAGTGTATGTGTGCCAAGTTTGGTCCGGATACGGCGGAGCCGGGTAAGCCAGCTAGTACACTATATGCTTAAAGGTATCGTTCACCCTAACTTGAGGGTCTTGAGCTTTTGGCAGCATATGATAGTAGGGTCATCCATCAAGCCAATGTCCAAGTCGAGGTGCAAAATGTCGCTTCGGAAGCGAGTAACTCGCTCCGGGATAACGAAGATGCACGAAGACCCCCAGATGGCATCGCCCTCCCCATCCATGCCCGCCTATCCGTGGCCGCTCAGCCAATCACCGTTCCGGAAAGCCGGCCTGCGGGTTTTCCGAAACACGCATTGCTGGGATTTTCTCGGATTCTAACTTCATATTTGGAACAGGGACATGAGAAGGCCCAGGAACGATCAAAACATGGAGTCGAGAATCTGGGTGGACGGTGCCTTTGAACGGTTCTCACGACGGATGTGGTACAAATGGTACAAACTCAAAGCTTCAAAGGTCTCTTCTTTTGTCACTGTGAGGACGTAGAAACATGGTCCAAGGATCTTCACAAGTACAGCAAAAAGCTCATTCTGTGAAAAAATCAGTTCTGCGCAGTAAAATCAGCGCTTCGTTTTGATCTCCTTGAAGCTCTCTAATAAGTTTCAAGAATAAATGGAAAGGTTTGTGAATAAAAATCAGAAATTCTTGTAGCTTTTCAACAAGATTTCGTCAATTTTGCCGCTAATTTTTTGACATTCTTTCTGACAATCCTGGATAGGACAATCGCAAAATGCAAAATCTGCATGAGCTGTGATGCAATCTGATACATGAATTAGACATTGAATGATCTGGGTTTAAGATGGTGAACCGTAAGCTGAGCGTACTTAATGTTAATGAATTTTGCTGCTCAAAATAAGTGGGACGCCTACAAAATTATGGAAAGTAGACACTTCACTCAATATGAAAAATGCGAAAAATTTGCTTAATACTGGAGAAAACTCGGCTAATCAAAAACAGCCGGCATTACCAGTATGCAATGGTCAATACAAACAAGCATGATACAAAAAATCAAAAATGGCTGTGCACAAGATAGCCCCTATTTAGTGGGTACGTAGGGTGCAAAAATCTTTGAACGCTCCGCAGACGCTCCGCAACAGATGCAAAAAAACTTCTCTTGGTGTGATAAAAGTGCCTTCACTTCTTTTGCAAGTGCGCATGCTACTGTCGAAGTGATCTTAAAAGTTTTTGGTACAATAGCGAATCCACTGCGTACTACTATTTGTTTTGTGTACACATGTGGTCAATGCAAGGCGATTACCGTTCGCCGTGACCAGTTTTCGTGACAGCTTCAAACACTTGTAACTGGTTATTTCTCATTTTCAGTGTGCTAGTCAGTTTCTGTGAGATAAGGGGGGGGGGAGAGATTCAGGGCCCGGCACAGATCGTCTAGAAGCAGGCTGGGCTTCGTTTTTCGAGCAAAAAGCAAAGGAGATATCGTTT